TACGTGTACAATCTTTTACGATCAGGGGACTGTTTTGACAAGAAACAGTGCAGTGCTCTCTGAGCTGATCTAAACGAAAATGCATGAATGCAAATTTTATTACATATGAAAAAGATAAAAATTTTATTAAACATTAAACGTCTTTCCTCAAACTTCCGTTACTTAACCCAAGACCATGAAAACCGGAAATCAGGTCATTTCTTTCTCTGGGGAGGAATTCTTGGTAAGGGGTAGATGTACCTGCGCAGTGTCAGTTGTGACATCGCGGAATTCAGAGGTTACTTTACTTGAGATCTGACTAGGCACATGTATCCCGTTTAATTTTCTCCATCAAGCTGGTGATCTGTCCGCTAAGCCAAATACCTCTGTCGTATCAGTATAACGTTCGGTGTCGCGTATTTGAATATAAATATGACTTTCAAGGGCATGCTTGTAAAAAGTCGGTGGCCTCAACAGACATAAATCAAGATTTTCACTAATGACTATATAAATGTTTAATTAATTTATTCAAGATTTGAAACTCTACACAATGCCTGCCTTAAAATTAAAGTTATGAGAATCTCGTTAACATTGCACATGACAATCATGTGTGTCTTCGAAGACCGAATTAAACTTTAAAACCACAAACCAGAGCTACACTTTGTGAATCAATTGACCATTTAATTCTCTTAATTACTTATATTTTAATAAACACCTGTAAAGCATCATGAATCTAGAAAGATTTGGGATGGTGGAGGGCTCCCCTACATTCATCATTTAGGGACAGGCACAAATAAACATACCCCCTAGCATCATCCCTTGTTACGCAATAGTACCACTGTTCCCTGTTACCTATGCTCCATTTACAGGTGTGCTTACTTTCCCCTCATTTGTTTGTCTGCTGGAACTCTTCAATGTAGTTTGAATTATTTCTTTATGTTTTCGAAGGTATGTGCAAAGGAGGCCGTCCCAAACATCTGGGGGCACGTTTCGATTCAAGTAGCTCTAATATTATGTAGATATACGAATTTAAAAAGAAAAAAATTATTGCATCGTATAAAAATAACAGGAACCAGAACAACAAACAAAACACGAAAAAATGCCTTTATATTACCTTCACTCGAAAACCCTAAAGTTTAATTAAATAAGTGTATGGAAACTTCTGAAGTGCATTTTTTCGTGTTTACAACCAAAGGTGTTGGAAGGAAATCTTGACTATGTTATAGGAAAATTGATAAAAATTTCCTCATGAATTAGGTCATAAAAGATGTACCAGCGGCTTATCAATGAAAGCGTTACACAGGGTCATGGGAAATATTTCTAAATTGGACACACGAGTTAAAAATATTAGACCTGCACGACAAGAACATTTGTAGTACAGAATTTGCAGGTTTGCATGCTCTTACGTAACTTTATATAACTTCTCCCGACAGCGAAAGATTTAAATTGCGTGATAAAACGCTACTTTATGAATGATAAACTGACAACATTTCAACACAAATTAAGCTAATGAATTCTAACTAAAATTATATTTTGTGGTTTGGAAAATACAGATGTTGGTTGATAATTAAACAGAAAGAATTAAGAGATTTGTCAAAGAGTCAAATGATGAAAGTGTTTAGAAGCAATTTGACGTCAGTTTGGGCATAGGTCGCCTCGAACTTCAATGAGCGTATTTAGGTTAATTTTTAAGAGCGTGATCAGATAAATTTTGTTTGCAGTTTGTTCTCCTTGAGCCAATATATGTCAAAATTGATAGTTTACGGCTTTATTTGGTATGGTAAGATGTTCTTGCACTTGTAAAGTGACAAACATTGTAAAAGCCCGGTTTCCTTGCGCGGTTTTTGTGAGTAGTGCGTTAGGTTCGTGAAGGTCGTTGATGGTATGTTGTGTGTTTTCAGGAGTACTTCTGTCAAAGGAATTGTTTTTTATTTGGCTTTGAAGTAAGAGTGTTAGGACCAAAATTGGCTTGGATTGAGAGAGTTTAGTGATTTGTTGTGTCTGGATTTTCCAGCCGTCTTTTACTGGATGACAGGTAGCTTATTCTACTCATTAAAAACTTAACACGGAACCGAACTCTCCATGGATCAAGCTAGTCTGAACTCTTAGCGCACTCAGAAGTTTCTAAGGAAATTATCTATGTTTCTGAAAACTTTTTACATTTTAATCAACTATTTCATATGTTAAGGAAATATATATGTGTGTGTAGGGGAGGGGGGGGGGTAATCGACATGAATTGACCTCTCGGATGGAGACCTTCTCTAGAATATGATGTCAAAGTGCTCAGTCGTGGTTTGTCCTTAAAATATGTATGAAGTCATTCCTTTGATTTCCAGTACATATATTGGAATTTAAATGTCAAACAAGTTGTATTTTATAAATTCTGAACATGATAGGCGTATTTCATTTTCCTTAAATATTTAATTGTAGGCAAACACTTGACTGAGTGTTTAAGTTTTTTAAGTTTTCAACAAAAGACGGGAATATAAGAAAAATAGAATGCATTTGTAAAGCACTCAAGAAGGACTCAATAAAAAAGCGTTTATTAGTATAAATTTCTATAATTATACGGTGCTTGAGTATTGTACATAAGTAGGTGTATATCTGAAGACAGTGATCTGAAGTAAAACACGCGCTTCTTGAACACCTGTCCAAAATAATTGCCAAGTCTCCTATATAGAATGACACTGATTTCTGAAAATTAAGGGAAAAAAGCAATTTAATGTTAATTTGTTATTATCATAGAAGTTTTTATATACTGTTCATATGCACAATGTTTTTTTAACAAAAACATAAGGAAACTTGCTGTCATATGACCAAGAAAAGTTGCATATTTAAATCATTGAGAATTCCATTCGTTTTAGCAGATACATGCAAAAATGTTTTGTTTCTATGATCAAGATAAATGTTGTTTTGACTTTGTAAACATACACGTGGGGTCAAATGGACAAAGCCAAGGGGGGTATAAAATAGGAAGTAAGGGCAAACATTTAACAAAGCAAGAAAACCATGAGGGGTCTATAGGATACAATATACGTTATCTGTTGCGTGGTGATGTATCGGTTTTTTGTTTTAACGTTTTATAGATGTTTTGCAAACGGTATAACAATTAGTCTCATTTGTATTCAGATTAACTAGTTAACACGTTTGAGGAATGGGGAAACACTCTTAGCAATTTATCAAACTCGAAACAAGTTTTATTAGCACTTCCACTTTGAGAGAGAGAGAGATGCATTTTCTCGGCAAAGTTCAGAAATATCTTAAAATGTCAATAAAACAAGTTTTTTTCATGAATTTACCGTCAGTCGTGACGATGCCTTCCTAACTGTTAACACTGAAATGATAAGAATGCTATTTCCTTCAATTAGAATTCATAAATTCATAGAGCCACCCGTCTAGTTGCCCACTCTGTGCAAGTTTGTGTTATGAGACAGATAGGGGGAAACTTTTGACTAAGATCATTATTTAAAAAGAAATTGACAGGGGACTTTGACTGTGACCTGTTAGTGGTTTTAACATCACGATCATCTAATGTATTTTAAAAGACGGATAAACATTGTAATAAAATTTGTCCCAACAATAAACCAAACCATTTACATAATCACTAAGAATGCAAAGCATATGTAATACTATGTTAAAGTTTCAAACTTATCTATTAATATTCATAATGTCTTTAAGTACATTTATAAACTTCCCAAAAAGCTTTGTCAACATTTACTGACAAATGATTAATGAAGTTATTCTTTCCCTTAGTTTACTAAACTAGAGGGCCCCTCCGTTTTCAGCTTTGATAAGAGTTGAAAACCTTGACTCTGTCTCACAATAACGTGCATTTTAATGGGATTAGCACAGGCTTACAACGATCGGGATTAAAGAGTAAAAAGTTAACCTTCGGAGGCGATATTTAGAGTAAATGATTTCCATTCTAACATGTTTTATTTTTCGCATTAAGTTCACCAGACACTGGAATTGGTCTTTTTGGTGAATCCATCGTCTGGGCTCGGATTATTTTTTGTAAAAAGACAACAATACCCTCAATCCGTAAGGAAAATTAACACAAAAAACAATTGACAGATGACATAAGTGGGCGGGCTAATTCCACCAGCCTGTTAATTGGATTACAACGCTACGGAAATGGAAGAATGGTCCCAGCGTCTTAGTTTACGCGAAATAAACGCCCAAATAAGCACATATTTCATGCTTGTTAGAGTAGATATCTTGGATGCGCGTAGCTGACATTTTTTTAAAGTCGTAAATAACAGGTTGTCGGCTTTTAGGTCAATATTGATGGTTTGTTGGGGTCTGTCTAGTTTTCTCCATTTCTGTATAACCCATTTTGGACCTACGGACAGTAGTAACTGTGTATCTCATTTTTTAAGTGTCCCTTTGTCAGAAAAAAACCACATGACTTTCCACGCTTGTGAGGTAAAACGCAAGGAAATATTTCCTTCAAATTTCTTCATTCCTTTCTGCTTGCGAAAAAATTCCTTTGTGTGAAAGTTAAATTGTGAATAATTCCCCATATGATTTTTAAAGAGGGTTAAACTTATTGGTGATAAGACCATCTACTCAAAATATGTCTAGGGTTTTAAAGTTCAATATCTGATCTGCTATAATGATTCTAAATGGGCTGATTATTGTGAGCTTGTATATTACCAAACATTTACTTCATATCAGAAACTAACATATAATCATCTCTATGTATATGTTTTAATCTTTTAAATCTTTATACTGTGAATTTTAAATTTTGAAAACATACAGGATTATGCTTGATAAAGCATCTGTTGTAGATATTATGTTGAAATAGAAACTGGTCCTATGGAAATATTCAACACAAATATTGACGCATATCACCGTGTTTTTTTTTTCTTTATAAATGAATCAAAATGTTACTACACATAAAAGAGATTAAAAATTTAAAACATAAGTATTTTAAAGGTGAATTAATTTTCTTTAACCCGGAAGGTTCAGTTTCTTTTTGTGAATTCCTTTGGTTGTAGTCAAAAGTGAATTAAAAAATATCATGTATCGATAGTTAAAAAAGGAATAAGTTGCGGTTTTCATGGCTTTCGTATAATCCCCATATATATTTATCAGGGTTGGTATTAAAGTGGTCTTCGCTTTACGGTCCTATACACAGGTATGAATAGCCCAGGTGAGGCGCGGATGTGTGAATAAGTTGAGTTTCGTTAGATGCTAGCAGAAGGGTTTAAAGCATTCGCTGTGACAGTCGACTTGTAACTTCACTCCTCGTTGATGTATAATAATCAAGCATTTCTTCCAAACAAAGTGAATGATTAATTTCTCTAGTCTTGGGATTTTTATAAATTAACTTTTTAGAACAAACGGAATTTAATATAGAGTGGATTATATCTGTTTGAAGGTAAGTTACGTCGACTCGCTCTCCTCATGATAACAAAATCTTAATACTTTTCTGAGTGTAAGATAAATCGGGCATCTTGATACCAATATTACCCAAACAATTTGATTTTGTGTTTACATTTCTATAGACAGGATTAAAATGCTACCCCAAGAAACTATTTAGATCGATTTTCTTCCATTTAAGGTTCATTTTGATTACAATTCAATCGCATGCATGCAGATGTCGAACCTGATCACCGGTAGAAGCACCGCTGATATCTATGTCTCAGTGACACAGACTTACGCAATTGACAAGATGACAAAATATTTTTGCAAATATTAAAAAGAAATGTCAACCAGTGTTTGTATGTTTAATCTACCCTCGAGTTTAATTTATACTTGCACATAAATCTACGAGGTCAGGTAATCTTTTCACAAAATGTGAATATTTGAAATAGTTCACACACAGTTACCGCCTATAAGGCAAGCTTAGCATTTTCGGGTTTCAAACGATAGTGAAGAACGTTGTTTGCACTTTATATGAGCTCCCTGTAATTTTAACACAATTAAAATGTAGCCCAAATTATTCCACATTAGGTTGCGATCGGAAGACGAACATAAAGATATTATAAATACTTTCAAATTAGCTAGCTCTGTAATGATGGGAAACTCGTGATCGAAAACTTTTATTTAGATTTCGATAAAATGTCGCTGTTTTTGGACGCCTTTTGAAATAGCGTACTGTAGTCTGTATTGTACTTTTTCTTGTTTGTAGTACATCATCGCATACCCTTCCATAAATAGAAATTTTGTGCTAATAAAGGCACTTAAACAAATACTTTTTGGAGGGGTTGAAACCAAACTCGCATCTCTAGGCGTTTGAAATCGGTACACGAAAAGGGTTTGTATTTTGTAAATAAAATATTTTAGACCTTTGTCATGTTTGGAAATCGTGGGTTTACGCTATGCTTGCGTAAATGTTCTAAAATAGAAAGTTGTGCATGTTTGGCATTACATATTTTGACTTCACAGAAGAGTCGATTGCTCGAAGTTAAGATATTGAAAGAGTTGTCTGTTTTTGTAATGCATCGCTTACTTTTATTAACATTGCATTAAGTGGGAAACTATTTGATAAATGAACACACAATCACACAACGTGTGGATGTATTATAATTCTGGTTACGCATGATAGTCAGGCGGAATAATTTTCGCTCAAATTTTTAAAGATATTTTTTAAGAATTACACGGGCTCCTTCGTTTCCATTGTGTTTATGTTCAGTTGTATCATCCAAATGCCTTAGAATTTGGGCGGAGTATCGGTAAGGCGGTACATCGATTTAAAGTATTAAAGAGATCATTATGAAATGTTTAGGAATATTATTGACTGTTGATCTATGTGATGTTCACTTCTCCTTGTAGCAGACCAGAAGCAGTGCCCATACAGACCAGCGTGGGTGTTTGGTATAATATGGTCCCCCAGTGATCATTGCTAACGCGGGTCCAGACACTTCTCAGAAAAGGCCCTGCGCTCGCATTCATTTGGATGATGAGGACGTTATTTTCACTCTATATATAAAGTTTATTGGAAGTTAATTTCATTGTTGATTGCCTGCCTTGAGGATTATAACTTGTTCTTGTGAATATAACCAGTATCTGTGATGGCCAGATTAAGGCGTGGTGCCCCGCGTCCAAGGCCACTCCATTGTGCCGTGTTGCTGAGATGATTTCATTAACAACAGAGAGAAAAACTACTTATTACTGTTCCAATGACCGTGAAATGGTTGCTTCTCCGACTGTGCTAAAGGTATTCCTTTTTTGCTCAATGTCATCCATTACATTTTCTTTATTATTTTTCTAACGCTTGATTATATAATACTATTCCCCTTGCAGACACCTTGAGAATTTTGTCTAGGTTCTATTCAGTATCGAAAGATTTCGAACCTGTAAATCTCTAAAATTTAGTTAGGTTGCAGTATAATGTGAATTTTTCTTTTCCGTATGAAATTTAAAAGCTTCAAAAAACTTGGATCATTAAATACCTTTTAAAGACAGTTTGACAAATCATGAAAATACCCGACTTTATAACACGTGTAAGAGTTGGCAGGTACATCAGACGGTGCTTAGAACCACATGGCATTTATAATTTTCTTGTCACCCAGTTTATGAGACCCTCCCCAGAAGCCCCTCTTTATAAATGACAGCCCCTCCTAATTGTCTCATGCATGTAGTGCAGAAAAATATATAAGGACTTATCAAACTTTTTTTAAAAACCTTATCAAAGAACCATGCTATTTCTTTTAGAATTAATTTGACCATAAATTGGCCGGTGTAATTGAACACGGATTATAAACAAATACACGTCAAATACTTGCCAACATCTGCAAGTTTTTGCCATTCTTTTGAAGGCTTTGGTGACTTTGGGAATACAGCCCCATCTGTTGAATTTTGAAATTCATTTTACATCATTATTTTATTATTTATTTTCCCCTTTATTTTATAGTCTTTTAAAATTATTTTTTGAGATTATTTAATTGTTACATTCAGTTTTCTTATTTTAAAAGACTTTTTTTATTTCAATATACTTCAATTAACAATTTTTGAGGGTAAAAAATTCCGTTTTTCATATCTGGTCTGGGGATTGTGGATTGTTTTACGTAAAGTGATAGTGAAAACCCGGCCCGGGCCGATGGTCACACTCGTTGCCTGGTTAACGACGGGTAGAAAAACAACATTCTTTGAACCATTGTGCTGCTCTGCTTGTTTGTTAGGTTTTTAGATGAAAAAATGTAAATTTGAAAAAGAGCCGAATCATCGCTGTCGCTGGGTATTATAGCAATTTTTCAAATATTTTACAGTAGAATACTTTTGTAAAGAATATTTAATGCTTTTGGCAACTTGCAATAAATAAAGACAGTGTACTTTGTATGGTTTATTTTCTTATTTAACAATGCATAAGTAGATGAAGTGATTTGGAGAGGACTTAAATGCAGGACAAGTAGTTTACCTGTGGGCCCGACATTCTTCTCTCGGCATGAGGAATTTCATGCTGATGTGGAAGATGAATTGTCAGATAATACTCGGTCTCCCAGCTGGGGGGATACCTGGTTACCCTTCACTTTCAACCCAGCTTATTAATCATGTGATATAATGAAAAATAAATATGGCTTTTTTTTCTAATGTATTTTTAAATTATTTTTCAGGTACAAAGCAAGTATAACACTTTTCACCTTCTTTTGTGTGTCCTAACGATGATATCGTGTGCCAACGCTTTTCCTAGTCCAATCGTCAATCAACAGAACAGGACAATTGTCATGTTTCGCAATCAGATCTGCAAACCTGTAGATCCGCAGCATTTGACTCAGAGAATGGGAGACTTCTTTGACACTTCTAAAATGGCCTTAGACGAGGCCACCGTGAAAAGAAGTATAGATGACGATCTATTACAAAGTGACGACCCGAGTGTAAGCGATGATGGATTTAACTCAGACGACGATTCTGACGATGAGGAAGAATCTAGTACTAAAAAACAAGCAAGTAGTGATAAAAATAGTTACATTCATAAATACACAGAGGATCCCAATCATCCGAACTATCCTCAGTCGATGCAGTTTATGCGGCGGAAAAGGGATACGAACAATTTCCAAAGTGTTGATGAATTCAAAACACATTATCAGTTATTAATGGAATCAAAAGCCAAGAGAAAACAATTTAAACGATTCATTAGGAAATCAAAAAAATTAAAACAGAAAAAGAAATTACCGTGGACTTGCAAAGCAAAGAAGGTGTGGTTGAAAATGGAGGATGGATATTTTCCAGGATATATACGGTCGACGCAGTGTAAGTCTAAAAAGTGTTTTTTCAATTACTATGAGTGTATTCCAAAGAAATATACTGTAACGATTCTTAAACGAGATCCGAACAATTGCAATCCTGTTCCAAGTTATGGACTTAACACAACTTATGAGGAACGATGGTTCTTCGATAAGTACCACGTGACCGTGTTCTGTGAATGTGGCATTGGTTCCGGTCGGCGGAGGGGCAAAGGCGGCAGAAAGTCACGGTCGTGAAAGCTAGCTTTAATGTGCATTCCACGTGCCAACATTCCGAAGGACCATCGTACCCGACTGTGATATTTTAATACACTCGGTTCCCGAAAGAAATCCAAATTTTAAAATATTTGACATTAACACTTAATTATTGTGCAATTTTTCTTATTGGATATAGTGTATGTGAATGTTGTATGTTTCGTATTTATTATTCAGTATCGTGAGATCCTGCCAGATATGGACAGTCCACACACAATTTCACACACTTCGAAATCCAGAAACGTGAAATACACGTGATTCAAAACCATGTCAAATGTGTTCATATACGATGTGGCCAGTGTGACGCAAAAAGGCGCATTTTTAAACCTTTTTAAGAAAAATTAAACTATTTGTGTTGGTTAATGTTGTTTTTAATTAAAGACAACAAAATCAAAGATATGAGGATATGTTCGAATGAACAATGAACTTTGCATTGAGCCATGTATAAAGTTAAAGAAAGTGACATCAACACTTGCAGTGCAGGGAATAATGTATATTAATATAATTGTTAAATCTATTTAAATTATTTGTTGTATTTATGAAATAATACAAAATAACAAAACCTAAACCTCCGTTTGTTTTGATGAGAAAATCCTGTATGAGAGATATTTTGACAACATTTATAATTCAGATGGTGTCTTTTACACAGTGAGGCAAATCAGGTCCGACTCCGATTAACACTCAGATGCCTGCTGATAATGTACATACTTCTTAGGACACTGTCCTATGTTAATTCTGGTGACAAAGATTCATATCTTATTGCCAAACAATCAGATGCCTGTATGACTTTCAGCCTGGCTTACTTTGTGAACTCGTGGGTTTCTATGGAATGTGCTCCCTACCACCCAAGGTCATTTTACACGGCCTTATTAATGATGATAAATATGACAGAAAGCATTCGCGTGTCCGAGCTCACTGCCACAGTGGTAAGAACGACCATTAAAGTGTCAGCAGCTTTTGGTATCACCCGCGATACATTCAAAGAGAGAGAACTCCATTTATTAAAAATCCCGGCTTAAAACCGAATTTTGATTTTTTTTATTCAGGTAGTACTGTAGATTCCTTTCAAATGCAATATATCTTAAGCTCAAACTTTTGTTTTTGACATAGGGTTACACAACATGCATGTCCACACACGAACACAAATCTCGGTCATAAATCACGTCTGGCATCCCGTGGATATGCATAGCTGAATAAGGTATTCTAAAATTGTTACAGTGTCAACCCAGGCTGCCATCTTCAAAGTGTGTATTTTATTAGAAAGTAATCTGCTTCGTGATGAAAGACAGATCATTACCTCGCGATCATATAGACTGTGGTAGGTTTGAAATGAGGATTTAATTGAACTGAAATGTCAAGCAGAGATTCCAAAAACTGCACACCACATTAAACTTCTGTAGAAACTATAAAAACTATTCAACTTGGCGAGGACCCGCCCAGCTAAGATGTACTTTAAAATGGAAATAGTTTCTCCTACTCTTTAGAAACTTTTACCTACATGTGCTTAATTAAATGGTTATCTGTGTCATCTGCAGAGATAAGCGCATTCATCTCTTTACGCTCGTTATGTTACCTACATAACGGCCACTAAAATTTTAATTATTCCTACAGAAAACGCATCCACAATAACATCTCATTTACAAAAATGAAGTAAAAGACCTTTTTTTATTCAAAATTGAAATTTTAAATGTAGATTATCAATGTCCACACGAGTGACCTAATATTTGATAAACGACCCTCTGACAGTATACAGCAAATCTTGTTGAACTCTTCAATTATTCTGATTGATTCGCACTGTGAATTTAATTATTTCAAAGTGTTTATTAATTTTCAACCTGTTTGTTCTATGTTCTGTTTTGCCAAAAAGTCGTTAACCCCTTCATAAATCACAAAACCCGAGTAAAGCTGAGATTGTCAGAATATCAATAAAAACCAGATATGAAAAATGTCTGCATATCATTACTCTTTGATATTAATTACCTAGATCTGCTGAAATAAATTTCACTGTCATTTTGTAATATATCTCGCATTCCCAGTGTCTCGAGAAAATGACAGCGGTTTTTTGAGCAATGTTTCTAGCTGTGTGATTTTCGCGCCTTCTGTGGTTTAGGAACATTCCAAAAACATTTTGTAAAGAAGCAAAATGAAAGCCGATTATAATTTACATTATATCTACTGAAAGTGTGGTTTATGTAATCAAAATTAATTTGTCTTAAAAGTAGAAAAGTTCTATAGCGACAAGAGAAGTCCATTACTCTGTAGAGGTTATAGAAAATCTAGCTGTGTCTCAAAGGGATTTTCCATCGGGAGGAATTCGGTAAAACTAGTATAAGATATTTGTAGTGGAATTCACTAATAAGATAACAATATCGGGTTCGTACACTACAAGAGTTATCAAATGACACAGTCTTTTATTGCAAATTTTATCTTTTTAAATAACTCTGCAATAAATAAGCCATGTTGCTAGGTGTATTTGATTTTTTTTATTTTTGTATATAACGTGTCATATTTAATTCACCTTTTTCAAAGAGACATCCAAGGCTTCTTGATGTGTGCGGCAACTTCAGTATAATTTTCCATCTTTTGTACGTGTTGAATTCTTGATATTTCTCAGTACATATCTTTTATTATCAGCTCTTAGTAAATGGCTTTTCTGCGTTATTCAGTTCAATAACAAATACAAGAAAATTTGGTAAACAACATGGTGCCCAAAATAACTGTCCAGAGAGGAGGGGGAGTGTAAGTTTCTATATAATGTGACAAAAGCATTCACACTTTGACAGAACTGTTTACACAGATCACTGAGAAAGGCATCGTGTCAAGAAATATTGATGTATATTTCTTTATTTACATATGTATATAAGAAACTATTCCATAAACATGGTATCTCTTTGAATAATATCTACATCAAAATATTGAAAATTGCACTTCATACGTTTCCTAAGAAGCGTATCATAGTTATGCATTTGTTAACTGTAAAATTATACCAAAACCCGCTCTTATTTAGCTGAGAAAACAATTATTAACAATATTATCAAAACAATTTTATGTGTGTTATGTACTTTAAACTTGTATCACAGCATTGTAGAGTATGTTAGTAAATCATTACAGTAAAAAGCAAGATGTGTTTGTGAAACAGCAGCTTAGAATCATGGTTTTGCATAAATTGTACGTCAAACTCCAAAGTCAAGCGTTTAAAAATGTTGATATTTAAAGAAATGTCTTATAGCAAGTAATTCAAATGTAAATCATAATTGCAATATATATGTATATGTTACCAACCTTTCCTAAAAAGTTTAAGTTTTCCAAAAAGTACGCCATATTGCAAGGTCAATGAGATCATTAAAAACCAAACGGAGCCATAGGTAAGATTTTGTCTCAAGGAATGCATTAGTAAAATACCAAAGCCATACGAGTAACCATTCAAAAGTTAAAAGACAATGCTTGAGTTTTTTTTCAAAAATTTGCCAAACTGAAAGGTCATGATCGAAAGTAGTAAAGAAAGATCTGGATAATATATTGATTATGCATGCGATATATAAAAACCCTAGCTCTAACTGTTCAAAAATTATGGCTTAGCTGAATGCCTGGTTAATTTTTGAATTTATAAAAAGAAAATCCAAGGTCTAGGGCTTTAAAATGTTTACACCTAAAGAAAGGTCATGTCACAAAATATACATACTCAATATTTAACACCAGACACCAAACATTCAAATTTATGGGCAAGGTAATTTTTTTATAGAAACACATATTACCAGACACTGATCGGGGCCATTTAGTATTTGGTCTGTCTTTGTTCGGTTAGTGTTTGATTGGTTGGATCTGCTGCTTTCATAGGCGTCGGAAGCAAATGGAAAGTGGGGGGGGGGGTAAACCAACAAAAAAAGTTAAATCCCAATGTTCAATGCCTATATAATGTATATATTTGCAAAAAAAGTTCGAAGGGGGGGGGTAAGCCCCCCAACCCCCCTGGTCCGACGCCTATGGCTTTCATATTCCACAACTACGGTATATTCCGTATAACAAGGGCTTTCTTTTGGTACATAGTACTAACTACTAAAGGATTTGACCACTAAAGTCTTGTTCCTGGGGTCTGAGCCCCTTTTACGAAAGTTCAACAAACTTTAACCTTGGTCAAAAGTTTTGTATAGTTGAAGCTAGGGCTTTCATAATAGTGTATTTCTTGTAACAAGACATTTCCTTGGGCACAAAAAAGTTTACCCTTTGACCTTTGAGTTAACATTTGAAAAACGTTTACATTGGCGATACCTTTTGAGTGGTTTGTGTTAGGACTTTCATATATCATATGTGTATATCTTGTGATAAGTTACTAAGAGTTTTGTCGATTTGTCCTTGACCTAAAAGTTTCACTTATTTTGTAAAACTATACACTTGTCCATCTTTTGAATGATTGATGCTAAGGGGTTATATATTATAGATGTGAATTTCATGTGACAAGACCTTCCATTGGACACCATCAAGTTTGACCCTTTGACCTTGTAGTTTGTATTTAAAAAAGCATTTTGAAATGCAGATCATACTCGAAGGTCAATGCAATGATGCCAAAAATGTTATTGCACCAAGAGGAGTCTTGTCACAAGGATTACGTGAGCATTAAGAGCGACTCCCTAGAAATACCTGTACATTGTAAATATACAAGCCTTGATTGGAAGTATCCATATATAATTTTTCACTTGCCATGACAAAACTTCTGAAGAAACATTTGAGATATAGGACTGTCAAATTCTATGATAAAATATTTGTAGATAACGAACAGTTTTCGAGCTCAAATGTCTATTCAACATTACAAAACAGGAGCAGAGCAAACACGGACCTCCTTGGAAAACATCAGAGATGGGATTAGGTGCCATGGTGGGGCGAATATCCCCTGCCGACCGGTCACACCTACCGTGTATTCCTTGTCATGATCCGGAAATAACGGAAAAAATCCGTGGACATTTCAGTGTGTAAATAATGGCCTAACAATCAGTATGAAAAAGTCAGTCAGTATTTGACTAAATGATAAATTGTAATTGCTGACAAGATCATTTTAACGACCACAGAACCTACAAAATGATGACTTTAAACGAGACTGCTGATATTCTTGCTTCATCAACTTGTTTGTCAATAAATTACCTCGTTTTAGAAATTGTTCATATGTAGAACATGCTTTTCCGTACCGAATCCACTGAGGTATAAACTCCGTATGTGGGAGACAAAAGTATATTGCTGCAAAAGTAAGGGAAGTTGACGACTGAAAAGTTAAAGTGATCACGTTAATCACAAAGCTTTATTATTGTTAGATAACCATTTTTTCTAGTAAAAGATCCAAATATGAAAGAGATGTGTCAGACTCTGTGGTATCTTTAATTTCAAGCTCACCCGGATATATCTTGTTGACATAAGAATAACTAAGAATAACTTGTTAATTGACAATGCTTCGTTGATATATCTAAATGTCGACTTGAAGGCCATAAGCAAGTGATTTCCTTTTTTTACGTATAAGAGTTTGAACAGATCCTGCTCATATGAATACAAAATAGGTCTGCTAATTATGGTGCGCAATTG